TCTATGATTAAGGCTTTTTCTACATACTGCTTACTCAACTACTAATTTTACAAACCGATGGGATAAAACTCATCCTTAAAACCAGGTTGGATGAGGTCAGTGTTGAAAAACCAACTACAAATATCATACTTAGTCTATGTGGAATCCTAATTTTACTTAAATTTTGGCTTGTATCGAAATATAATATTAAAATCCATAGTGCAATCTTACCTCAGTTTAATCATAAGATCATTACGATTCACAATACGAGCATCATGACAAAAGGGTAACATTACTTCAATAGTACGATAAATCTTAATTTGTATTGAATATCATCACTTTATAATTTTTGTAACCATAGAATCTAAGACACAACACAAATAAAGGTTTGAAAATTAAAGTAAAAGTAACCTAGTTTACACCCATGATGTAAGTTGATGTTAAAGGAACTTTATTATATTTTATTTTTTGTGGATTTTTTTGACCAAATTATAAGCCGTCAATAAATTAAAAAAAAAAAAATGATGATAATGAAAGAGAGATGATAAATTAATATAAAATATCCCATGTGATGCTCGTGGATCTTATTAAACTAAAATCATATATTAAAGGAAAAAATATTCACCGTCTATTAATTTATCTCTTGATAGAGATGGAGAAGAATATTGATGTTAACTAAGGAAATAACCAAAGGGAATTTCATATAATGGTTCATGAATCCACTGAATTACTTGGAAAATGACCTTGGCAATTTGGTCAATTTTTTTTATACTAATAAAATGTCAATTCATAAAATAAAATAAAAATTGTTGAACATATAATGTGAATGAAAGTTGTCAATTAGCAGGTTTATATATTCTTGTGAGATTAATTAATATTATTATTTTTTAAATAAATGTGGGAACACTTTATATTAATCGATCTTACACGTTTATATAAAATAAGAGCATAAACTATTATAATAATCAGATGTGCATTCTTTGTCCGACCATCTAAAAATGTTCGATTTAAGTCATTTGTTTGCTACAACGGTACAACCAAATCTATTTCATATGAATTTTCATAATATTTTTCCATTTTAGTATTAAATAAATTATGAGTTTATTTTCTTAATTTATTTTTCTCTTATAAAATTGATATGAAAAAATAAAAGATGGGACATAAAACACATGGTTCATGATAAAAATAGAGCCATAATAATTGAAATTCTAGTGTAAATTGGTCCCCCAATACATTTTTCATAGTCATGCATTTAATATATGAGACCAAGAATGTTGCAACTATTGATGTCGATATCGAGAAATGTTTGTTTTCTTTCTATATTTTCCAATGTCGTTGTCTTATCTTTGTTGTATTGATTTATGAACACAAACGCAAAATCATATATTTTCTCCAGTTTTTATCTAAATAAATATAGATCTATTAATATAATAGGTTTCGAGCGTATTCTTATATTTAAAAATTCACATTATAAAAATAGATGGGTTTGGGTCGGGCCTGAGGTTACAAAAAACCCGTCAAACTGGACTTGAGCTTTACTTGTGATACCCGTAATGGGCTTGGGCCTTTATTTTGAGGTCGGGCTTGGATCTAGGCCAAGGTAACCGATCTCGGCCCGGCTCATTGCCATCACTAAACTAATCAGAGAGTGTTATATAAACACGTGTAACATATTATGAGACGTCATGTTAGTGCATCTCTTGAATTATCTTGTTTCTCGAATACCCAGAGTTTGGCATATCATATTATGCAAAACGGAAGAAAATAGGGGATCGATGTTCTTGCATCTAATATGCATAAAATATTGAGTACAGAAATCTAAACTAAATGAGAAGCTCAAGTTCCCAACAAAATGATACAGTGGGAAGATAGAAATAAAGAGCAAAGCACATGGGGGGAGTTGCAAATTGCAGGACTTGAAGGTGATGTTTTTATCCTATTTAAAGAGGGGCAAAGAACAGGACCACCACGTGGATTTAATTTGATTTATTATTTGCTTTCTCATGTGCATTTCTCTGACAAACAGTATCTCATTCAACAACACAAAGCCTTGGCCTTTTGTAAGAAACAAGATACTGTTTTAATTTAGTACTCAGAAGAAGTTGAGTTAGGTGATTATTTCATATAGGTTTGAAAATTAATAAAAATATCCCTTTAGGTTTATTAATTTAGTTAAAAACTCTTATAATAAAATATTAAAAATTAACAAAAACACCTTTACCTACCCATTAAATGTCGGCAGTCGGCCATCACCACTGGAGGGTGGCCGAAAGTCATCGTAATAACGTATGACTAACAGACCTGGTCAGTCGTACATTGATATGACATTTTTCGGCTAGATCTGGCCATTACGGCTAGATCTGACTACATTTGGTCGTCAACGACAGCCATACCTTGGCCATCTTTGACAGCTAGCTACAACCAAAGATCTAGCCGTCAACGGCTAGATCTTTGGCCGTATCTAGCAGGCAGTGCGCTATTATGTTAGATTTTAGCCACCTTTCGGCGGTTGTGACCAAAATTTGGCAAATGTGGGTGGATGTGAATGTTTTTGTCAATTTCTAAACTTTTTTTTTTTTTTTTTTGGTTGGGAGTGTTTAGTTAAATTAACAAACTTGGGGAGTTTAAAAATAGTTGAATATAATATAATTTGATTTTCAGAATAGAGAAACAAATATGTAAATCCTACCCAAAATAGAGAAACAAACACACCCCAGGGTTATTTTTATTTATTTATTATTATTATTTTTAACTAAGATGTCATGATTAGTTTATGTGCAAGCTCGACTAATTCTCAGAGAAAGCTATCTCACAGCAACCCACAGCTGCGGTCCTCTAGGTTAATAAGGGGTGGCAATCAAACCAGGGATTGTGGGTTGAAGCCATGAATAGCCCCCTTGGTTCGCTCTTACTGCTAGGCTACCCGTGGGTAGGTTATTTATCTTTTATTCAAGTTTATTTTTTAGGGTTTTCTTTCCATGTTCGGATTCGTTATTATATTATTTTTCGAAGATAGAGTGATTAATAGATTCTTTAATATAACAATTATCATTTGTAACATTTATGAGTTATATTTAAGTATTTGACTTAAACATAACATATGTGACATTATATCACATTAACATTAACATTAATAAATTCTATGTACTCTCTCCCGTTATAAATATTTAAAAAATAATAATAGATAAATAATATCATTTAGATCTTATTTTTGTCTGCATTTAAGAAATTTCATCAGGAATAATATATACTTTACTATAATATATTTTAACTTTGTTTTTTCTTCTCACATCTCACAATTAATTAATAAATTTATCTAAAATTAGTAAGCTATAATTTAATATGCTATAGTGTGGATTAGCATACCAACAACCCCATGGTCCACATGATTAATTTATGCTTAAAATCAAATCATATGAAATGTTTGGGCCCAATCAAATTAAATTATATATCTATACTATATTGTCATAAACTACAAAAAGAGATGATTAATTTCCTAATTTTGGGTTTTAATTATTGACTCCTTTTTTTGTTGGGTATTTTATTATTTGGTATATAAAGTTGGTAATAAACTACAAAAATGAATATTGTAATTAAAAAATAAATTATGTTCTTATTTAGAAAATAATTATTGAGAAAGTGGGTCTTATAAGATCCACTAATTTCATACTCAAATAATTTTTTTTTTGACTTGAGACATTTAAACATGTAATTTAAAATTAACATGAAATTTTTTATAAGAAAAGTGGATAATTTCATACACATTTATTTATTTATTTATTTATTTGGTTAATGGGTTGTGTGAGCGTGACCTACTAATATAATATACTATTATAAATTCTCCGATACAAATGTTACGAAGTTTTTAATGTACGGATCAAAAGTTTTAAAGCAACTCATGAAGGCAATGAAGCCACTCTTAAAGTTGAAACTTACTTTAAAAGCAAACATACTCTTTGGAGCTACCAATTTCCTTGCTTGCATATGAAAATATGTAAAATCTTTATTATAAATGGAAATTATATAACGAACAAAAACAATCACAGGTTTGTTGCATTACAGATTTGATAATATTATCAAATTGATAAACGCTATTTAACTAGAATACTCAACCATACATAACCATTCAAGATTTCAATCTAACGATAATTATTGGTTCAATACTGTTATGAACATTAACACTACTTTGATATGTTATTATGTATTTTACTTTGTGATCGAATTTATTGTTTAAACTTTTAAAATTTGTCAATTTAACGTTTTCTTCTCTCTTTTTTCTTAATTTGGGTTTTTTTTTTTTTTTTTAATGGAAATGAGAAATATATTTACAAAACAAACTTCATGCTTCAAAAGCAACCCAAGAAGCAAATGGACAAGAAGGGTCTCTTAATTTTGTTAACAACTGAAGGCAATTCAAGGACCATGAAGACCACTATTATGAATTTAACTTGTTTTCAAAGCAAATTGTTTTCATTTTTTGTTTTTGTTTTTAGCCCATGCTTTGAAATCTAGTTGTTTTCAGAATTCCCTTCTTGGCAAGAGGGAAATTGTTGGAGACAATTAGTGGATTGGGCCTTTGGGCTTTTGCTTCTGTTTGGACGATTTGAGTTGGGCTCACAAACATTAATTTAATTTTTTTTTAAAGAAATTTTTGACTAAAATATTTTATAACCAAAAGTAAGACTATGCAAAACCGGGTATCCGTAAACCGAACCGCAAAGGGTATTATATTTAATTTTACCAGTATCTTGAGTCATCACTTGCTCCAATAACAAGTATCAATTAATTAGTTTAACAGACTGCAGAAGGTTTATTTAGATCTTGAACATTTCATTACTCAAAAGTGATGCCCATGTGTGGCTATGAAATCTTCAATATAATTGGTTCTAGACATACTAGCTAATTGAGAAAGGTGATATGGACAGAACACGAATGCTGCAGATGAAAATAACGCATTAACAACACCAAGTCGACGAGTCAAAAGAGCAGAGAGGGAGAATTTAATCACTGTATATGAACAGTCACTGTAGATGGAGGCTTGCAATGGCTGAAACAACTTCGGCCATGGCTTGGAATTTCCGCCTTTCCTTTAGAAGCATTTTTGCAAATTCAAGAGCTTGTTGTTCACAAGCTGCTCGTTTTCTGGCATCCTTAATTGATTCAAAATCCTCAACATGGACCACACCCACAATCCTCCTAACAATCAAAAAAATTAAAATATCATCAGAAGACATAAATTTGAGAAGTAGAATGTCAATAATGTTTCGAAAAGAAGAAAAAATTTATTAATGTTTCAGTACGAATCCTGAAAGTTTAAACTAACAAGAAATATTTTAACTCTTAACATATTCCTTTGAATTTATCTTACCTTATCATTTTGGCAGCACCAAATCCAAGGGTGTCGTGGAACAGATCTTTCATAAATTTTTGTTGAACAAGCTGCTGAATCTCAGGATTATTATAAATTTCTGGAATGTATGCCTCACCAGAGCCACCTTTATGTTGATCCCAAAGTGCCGTGAATTTTTTGTGGAACAGAGTCCAAGTCTCTTCAATTGTTCTCAAAATCCATTCTTTATAACTCTGCAAGACAATGCCAACTCCAGAAATGACCCTTAAAAGTCATCAAAAAAAAAAAAAAACTAATTGAAAAATCTCAAAAGTGCCAAACATTAATGGTATGCATCACACTCTAGTTTATCTGCAAAATTCCAGAACTAAATTATAACTGACATACTTTACGGTCATTCCTTTGATTAGCATGTCCATCTTGGGCAAAATAGGCCAAAATCAAGTTTCCAAGAAAAGCTCCAATATCAAAACCCATTGGGCCATAAAATGCAAATTCTGGATCTATAACTTGAGTTGAATCAAGAGTAATCATTACAGAGCCAGTGTGGAGATCCCCATGTATGAGAGCTTGAGCTCTTTCACAGAACCTACAGAAATGGAAGCTCTGATATAACTATATTGGAATTGCCACATATTGTGGAAAGAAAATTAGTACATTGGAAGAAGTAGTACTTGGATTTCAACTCAGCAATTTCAATCTTCAAATAATTGTCCTCCCTCAGAGCCTCCACATCTCGATCAAGATAAGGAGAAGTCCAATGGTTATATTGAGATACTCTGTAGGGGTCAGAAAAAACAACACGCGCAGTATGATTGCATAACTCTACATTCCCACAAAATTCAGCGACTGCATCAATCATTCAAGTAAGCTCATTAGCATCCCACTGGAAATTAAGTGCGTAAATTGTGAATTAAGATATAAGTTACGTAATGATTCTTACCAGCTCGTTTATGCTCCATGGTAGAACGGTACAGAAGAGATGTGTAGAAAAGAGTTTTTGCCATATATTCTGATATGTGTTCTGCGAGCAATGGATACTCAATTCCTGCAATCAGCCCTTTCCTCAGGATAATATGTGGAGGCTCCAAGAATCGCATTCCGATCAAAGACATCGGACGATCAAAATGATAGACTTCAGGAACATGATCAGGGCACAGTTGGCGGTGCTCTTTCAACGCCAATGCCTCAAAATAGGCTCGCTCCCTTGTCATTGGCCATGATTCACCTATACATCGAATGTATTCGAGTGCCTGCGCATCCACAAGCGAATTACAAAGGTTAGCTCAACAGTTGACACTATGAATTATATCAAGACAGAAGAAATTATATTTGAAATACCTGCTTGATGACTATAGAACAAGAAGTGCCGACAACGATATAAACGAAATTGAGGTTGCCATCTCCGACTTCTTTGATGGTCAAGTCATCAAACTGGTTACCAATTTTGGAGGACAAAGAGGGCGTGGCTTTGATATACTCTATCAGAAGTTTCTCGTCGAGTGGTCTGAACTCCGTGAAGGCCATGTGTTGTGGTTATTAGTGGTTTAGGAAGACAGTGAGGAGATAAACAATGAAGCTGCAGGCTTTTTAAGGAAACAATAAAACACACATGATTAGTGATGATTTGGTCACGACAGCGAGCGAATGTGGGCGCGGAGAAGGCGAAATGTCAAGTCTGGAGGCGCCAGGGTTCAATGAATGCGGACGCGATTTTATTGATATTCAAAGGGTAAACGATTTTTTTCCACCCGAACAATGGCCTAATGAAGCACGCATGCACTTCTAAAATTACACTTTGCTATCTAAACTACTAAATTTTATTATATTTAATTATGAAGTCGAAGATACCCTTTTCTATTTTTCTTCTCTACTCAGTATACGGGTACCCCAGGGTTATTTTTATTTATTTATTATTATTATTATTTTTAATTAAGGTGTCAAATTACTTTACGTGTAAACTCAATTAATTCTCAAAGAAAACTATCTCACAGCAATCCATTGCTGCGGTCCTCTAGGTAAATCAAGAGTGACAATCAAACCAGAGATTATGGGTTGAAGCCATGTATAATTCCCTTGATTCGACCTTATTGCTTGGCTACCCATGGATGAGTTATTTATCTTTTATTCAAGTTTATTTTTTAGGGTTTTCTTCCATGTTCAGATTCGTTATTATATTATTTTTCGAAGAGAGTGTGATTAATACATTCGTTAATATAACAATTTGTGAGTTATATTTAAGTATTTGACTTAAACATAACATATGTGACATTATATGAGATAATCATTATAATGAAAAACCTGCCGTGTATTCATATTAACATTAATAAATACTTATGTATCTATTGTACAATAGACTCTCTCCCGTTATAAATATTTTAAAAATAATAATAGATAAATAATATCATTTAGATCTTATTTTTGTCTGCATTTAAGAAATTTCATCGGGACAAATATGTACTTTACCATATTATATTTTAACTTTGTTTTTTCTTCTCACATCTCATAATTAATTAATAAATTTATTTAAAATTAGTAAGCTATAATTTAATCTGCTACAGTGTGGATTAGCATACCAACAACTACATGGTCCACATGATTAATTTATGCTTAAAATCAAATCACATGTGATCCCAAAATGTTTGGGCCCAATCAAATCAAATTATATATCTATAATATATTGTCATAAACTACAAAAAGAGATGATTAATTTGCTAGAAAATAATTATTGAGAAAGTGGGTCTTATAATATCCATTATTTTCATACATTTTTTTTTTTTTTTTTTTTTTTTTTTTTTTTTTTTTTTTTTTTTGTATTGATACATTTCAACATGTACAGAAATAATCAGAAATTTTTTTATAACAAAAGTGGATAATTTCATACAGAGTGGTGCATTTGTTTAGTTATTTAGAGTAATATTTTTGAAATATTATTAATAGGTAGAGTTGGATAGTTATTACGAGGTAGGATTTGAAATTAAAAATAGTATGATCCATTTGGTTTATTATTTTTACCCTATCCAACCTTAAAAACTAAAAAATGCATTTGTTTCAATATTCTCAAAATTCAATTATATTTTATTCAATTCAAAATATTAATAATTACATTTCTCGTAAAGATAACCCAACTCAACTCAACTTTACTTATTCCAAAATACTATTTTAAAAAGTATCAGAATAGTGAATAATTTATGATAGGATTTTGAGAATAAAAACACAAATATGAATTTTTATTTTTGGAATATGAATAGAATAGAGAAACAAACGCGTATTTCAGTTATTTGGAGTAGTATTTTTGAAATATTATTGTTAGATAGAATTGAGTGGTTATTATGAGGTAGTTGGGTGATTATTACGAGTTAGATTTGAAAACTAAAAATAGTTAAATAATTTTGGATATAATTTTGAGAATAAGGAAATAAATATGTTTTTTTTATTTATAATAGGAATAAAATACTCAAACAAATGCATCTTTTATTTATTTATTTATTTATTTATTTTTTTTGGTTAATGGGTTGTGTGAGCATGACCTACTAATACAATATACTATTGTAATTTCTCCGATAGATATATTACGAAGTTTTTAACGTACGGATCAAAAGTTAAGTGATATTTTATGTTATCTTTAATTTTGCATTTGTGAAGTCAATGACTAATTGTTGACCTTTAATTCACACTCAAAAATTTAAGACATCCATATTGAAGATTGAGTATATAAATAGAGTAATGTTATGCTTACACACCATTTTGCTATCCTTTATAAATATAATGTATAGTACGGGTACCATACGCATAGTACAGATACTATATGTAATTTTAACAAAGGTAATAAGACTGTTAGTAAAACTCGTGAGTAAGCATAGTATTTCTGATATAAATATAGGAAGTTGGGTCTCTCAAGTTTGTCAAAGCAACTCATGAACTGATGAAGCCAGCTCTTAAAGTTAAAACTTACTTTTAAAGCAAACATGCTCTTTGGAGCTACCAATTTCCTTGCTTGCATATGAAAATATGTAAAATCTTTATTATAAATGGAAATTATATAACGAACAAAAACAACCACAGTTCGTTACATTACAAATTTGATAATGTTATCAAATTGATAGACGCTATTTAATTAGAACACTTAACCATACATAACCATTAAAGATTTCAATTTAACGATGATTACTAGTTCAATACTGTTATGAATATTAACACTACTTTGGTATGTTATGATATATTTTACTTTGTGATCGAATTTATTGTTTAAACTTTTAAAATTTGTCAATTTAACGTTTTCTTCTCTCTTTTTTTTTTTTCATAATTTCGGTATTTTTTTTCTTTTTTCTTTTTAATGGAAATAAGAAATATATTTACAAAATAAACTCCATGCTTCAAAAGCAACCCAAGAAGCAAATGGACAAGAAGGGTCTCTCAATTTTGTTAACAATTGAAGGCAATTCAAGGACCATGAAGACCACTGTTTTGAATTTAACTTGTTTTCAAAGCAAATTGTTTTCATTTTTCATTTTTTTGTTTTTTGTTTTTAGCCCATGCTTTGAAACGGAAATGATAAAGCCACCGAAGATTGTGCACCGATTTTATGTACCGAATGATGTGGTAAAATCTTGACTGTCTATTAATATTCAGTTAAATTAATAAATGGTCAGGATTTAGCCACGTCATTCGGTGCATGAATTCGGTGCACTACTTCGGTGACTGTAGCATTACTCGCTTTGAAATCTAGTTGTTTTCAGAATTCCCTTCTTGGTAAGAGGAAATCTAAGGGTTCGTTTGGTTCTTTATTTTATACTCTATTCCCAATCCTATTTTCAAAACAACTGTTTGTTTCATTATTTAGAAAATATTATTATATTTTATTTAATTACTTTTAGACCTCTTAAGTTTATTAATTTAATTAAAAACCTTCAGAAAAAAGTTTAAAAATTAATAAAAACACCCTCACCCACTCATAGTTGTTAGATTATGGCAACCATAGTTAGTGGTAGCTGGAATCTATCACAACGGCATACAAACGATCGAAATTGGCCGGTAATTCGTCGGTTGCTGACGGCCATATCCTATTGGTCTGCATTGTAACGCCAGATTTTGGCGGTGGTGGTCGAAATTTGGCACTGTGGGTGGGTGAGAGTGTTTTTATCATTTTACAAAATTTTTATATATTGGGGTGTTTAGTTAAATTAGCAAACCTAAGCCTTTTTTTGTTAATTTTTAGATTTTACCTCTTAATAATCACCCAACTCAACTACCCAATACTATTTTCAAAATCTTATCCAAAATAACAAACCAAACCGACCTTAAATCATTGAAATTGTTGGAGTCAATTAGTGGATTGTGCCTTTGGGCTTTCGCTTCTGTTTGGACGATTTGAGTTGGGCTCACAAACATTATTTTAGAATTTTTTTTTTTCAAGAAATTTTTGAAGAAAATAAAATCATAAAAAATTTCCAAAAAATTATCATGACGTTTAGTAAAATAAGAAAAACAGAATTTTGTTTTCTGACAACATCATTTGCTGCAAAAGATGAACTCCTTTTTTATATAACCAACTTGTTATCATTGACTCCACCCATATAAAGCTTCTATTTTTATGCCAATAACAACCCACAAAATCTCCTCCAAGAATGGCCAATCCAAAAGGGTCCTCGTTTCTTTCTCAAATTGTGTTCATCTTGACATTTTCTTATCTGGGTAATGGCTTTTCTGTTGACCCAGTTGAGCAGCAAAGACTTGATAAGGTTCTGAAGCTTCCAGGGCAGAGTTTCAATGCCAGCTTTGAGCACTATGCTGGTTATGTTCCAGTAAATGAAGAGTTCGGGAGAGCTTTGTTTTATTGGCTGATTGAAGCTGATGAAGACCCTGATTCTAAACCTCTTGTTCTCTGGCTCAATGGAGGTCTCCAGTTTTGACTTTTACATACCCTTTTTCAGTTACTTTATTTTCATTGAAATAGTTTAACTCTTTCGCTTTTAATTTTGTTCTTAACTTTTTGATTGTGGGTCTCAAAGTTTTCATNAATAAAAACACCCTCACCCACTCATAGTTGTTAGATTATGGCAACCATAGTTAGTGGTAGCTGGAATCTATCACAACGGCATACAAACGATCGAAATTGGCCGGTAATTCGTCGGTTGCTGACGGCCATATCCTATTGGTCTGCATTGTAACGCCAGATTTTGGCGGTGGTGGTCGAAATTTGGCACTGTGGGTGGGTGAGAGTGTTTTTATCATTTTACAAAATTTTTATATATTGGGGTGTTTAGTTAAATTAGCAAACCTAAGCCTTTTTTTGTTAATTTTTAGATTTTACCTCTTAATAATCACCCAACTCAACTACCCAATACTATTTTCAAAATCTTATCCAAAATAACAAACCAAACCGACCTTAAATCATTGAAATTGTTGGAGTCAATTAGTGGATTGTGCCTTTGGGCTTTCGCTTCTGTTTGGACGATTTGAGTTGGGCTCACAAACATTATTTTAGAATTTTTTTTTTTCAAGAAATTTTTGAAGAAAATAAAATCATAAAAAATTTCCAAAAAATTATCATGACGTTTAGTAAAATAAGAAAAACAGAATTTTGTTTTCTGACAACATCATTTGCTGCAAAAGATGAACTCCTTTTTTATATAACCAACTTGTTATCATTGACTCCACCCATATAAAGCTTCTATTTTTATGCCAATAACAACCCACAAAATCTCCTCCAAGAATGGCCAATCCAAAAGGGTCCTCGTTTCTTTCTCAAATTGTGTTCATCTTGACATTTTCTTATCTGGGTAATGGCTTTTCTGTTGACCCAGTTGAGCAGCAAAGACTTGATAAGGTTCTGAAGCTTCCAGGGCAGAGTTTCAATGCCAGCTTTGAGCACTATGCTGGTTATGTTCCAGTAAATGAAGAGTTCGGGAGAGCTTTGTTTTATTGGCTGATTGAAGCTGATGAAGACCCTGATTCTAAACCTCTTGTTCTCTGGCTCAATGGAGGTCTCCAGTTTTGACTTTTACATACCCTTTTTCAGTTACTTTATTTTCATTGAAATAGTTTAACTCTTTCGCTTTTAATTTTGTTCTTAACTTTTTGATTGTGGGTCTCAAAGTTTTATTTTTTGTGAAGCACTTTTAGTTTCTTTCTTTCAATTCCTGTGTTCTGGCTCTTTACCTTTTGATTATGCTGACTGTTCATGCATCTGAATCTGTTACAGTATCATAATCCTGGCGAGGTCATTTTGACATATCATATTAGTAACATTAAACATAAAAATAGAATCATATATGGTTCAATGGAGGTCTAAAGTTTTCACTTTCGTGTGCCCTTATGTAGTTTCTTTGATTTTAGTAATTTTGTCTTGGTTTTTTACTTTTAGATTATGGTGAATAATCATATATCAGGTATAAAGTTACCAAATTTGTAGGTCTAAAGTATACAAGTTTTCACTTTTGTGAACCATTTTTAGTTTTTCTCTTCATTACTGTTGTATGGCTCTTCACTTTATTGATTCTGTTGACTGTTCATGAATCTAAATCTGTGAATTCATGTATTATCAGTTACACAGTCCCGGTATAGTTACTAAAGTTATGGGGTTATGATATACCACAAGGTCATTTTGATAACGTCATGTTAGTAACAATCAAAACAAAAATAGTACCATATTTGGCTTAGGTATAAAGTTTTCATTTTTGTGTATCCTTTTTTGTTTTTTTTTTTTTTGGTTACTGTTGTTTTGGCTTTTTACTTTTTGATTATGTTGAGAGATTATACAGATGCTTATGTGTATTCTTGTGTTATCAGTAGTAGAATCCTAAACCTAAAACCTTGCAGTTGAGAGATTATACAGACGATTATGTGTATTCTTGTGTTATTATTTTTGTGTATTCTTTCTTACAATTATGGGGTTATGATACCCACAAGGTTATTTTTAGTAACATAAGCGACTTTCTAAAAATTTATGACTTTTGTGTTCCACCTGATAAGGTGAAATTACTGGACCAGTAATATAGTTGTAACCTTGTTTATGATTAACACTCAAAAGAGGAATGAACAATAGTGTAAAATGAATGATGGCCAGACTTGTTCCTCTATTCTTGCTATTTTTTATCTATGGAAGTTGATATTTTTCTTGGCTTTTTAATAGCTCTCAACTTTATTATTCAGTTCTATGAGTTGATTCTGATTCAAGTGCTTTCTTTAGGGCCTGGATGTTCATCCATTGCATATGGAGAGGCAGAGGAAATTGGTCCGTTTCATATAAGACCAGATGGGAAGACCCTTTATTTGAATCCTTATTCTTGGAATCAAGGTAAGAGATACCTGATAGATTTTTCAATGAATCAATTTTTTATATTGTCAGTTTTGTGCATGTTGAAGTGGTAACTAGAAGAGTAACTGTTGTGTTTGATTTGTGGATAATCTGATGCAAGATTGATGCAGCAACATAATGCTCTGGTATTTTCTTAATGGAAATCTAAAATTTCCTAGCAAAAGAAACAACTAAGTAATATATTTTTTTACCAAATCATGATTTTTTTCTGTCATGTCTTTCTGTAAAATGATTTGAGATGATTAAGATTCCAGATTCCTGTTCTCCAAATAGTGAGATTATTTACAACCTTATACATGATCTTCCCCAAGTTTGACGCCAAGGATTCCTTGACAGTTTGAGTCCTCGACTTGACTAGTATTTAAGATTGCACAAAACCACTTTGTCTGCATAAGATAGTGTAAAAAATCTCTTGATAATGTAATTCTGGATTTATTTCATATTGAAGTTTCTCCCGAAAATGGTTATATGCAGTCCTTTGGATGTCAAATACTTGAATGTTCAGCATATATTTATATTCTCCTATGAGTTTAAGATGTTGTTTGTTTCTTTTTGCTGATAATCAGATTACCTCAGTAGAATAACCTGATTGAATATAGTTTAAATATGTGAACATGTGACATTTCGTTTAGATAGCTGTCCTAATAATATTCAAATTTTATGGTCATATTTTCCAGAATGATTAATTGTTACTTTTTCTTCTTTCCCTCGTTTGAGTGAACGCAATTATATCTAATAACTATCAACAACTTGCAGTTGCCAACATTCTGTTTCTTGATTCCCCTGTTGGAGTTGGTTTTTCATATTCAAATACATCCTCTGACCTGTTGAGCAATGGTGATAAAAGAACTGGTAATGCTTCTTCCACTTTGTATCTTGTAGTTCTGCAATAAACTTCTGGTCATTGCTGCTGTCTTATATATTAATTAACTTATCATCTTTGATTTGCAGCTGCGGACTCCCTGGCATTTTTACTTAAATGGCTTGATCGCTTTCCACAGTTCAAAGGCAGGGATTTCTATATCACTGGAGAAAGTTATGGCGGTATGAAATATGCTATGATTTGTATCTCTTCAGACTGCAAAAATACTGCACTTGTTAATGTACTATTTGCACCTTTTCCTAATCGATAGCTATAATGGCTGAGGATTTTATTAGAAGCTTTAAATTTATTTGACCTTATAATATCATTTTAACTCTATGCAATGGCATTGGAACTTCTTTTGAGTATACCTCAAAATGTTGTAAAATGTGTTCCAGGACATTATGTTCCTCAGTTGAGCCAAGCTATCGTGAGGTACAACCTAGCTACTGGGGATAAAACAATTAATCTGAAGGGTTACATGGTATGGATTTTTTATTGAAATCGCTATGGTTCATGGTCATTCGGACTCATGTGAACAGATTAAAATGTTAATTTGCATTTCTAATGCAGGTGGGAAATGCTCTGACTGATGATTTCCACGATCACTTGGGGGTTTTCCAGTTTATGTGGGCAGCTGGTCTGATATCTGATCAAACATACAAACTACTGAACCTTCTATGTGATTTTCAGTCATTTATTCACAGCTCAAGTTCTTGTGAAAAGATGCTAGATATTGCTGGTGAAGAAATGGGGAACATCGACCCATATAGCATTTTCACTCCTTCCTGCACTGCTAATGTTAGCCAGTCAAATCGGCTGCTGAAAAAAGTGCATGTGAGAACATGCTTTGTGAACTATGAAAGAACTCTTCTTTGAGTGACGCCTTAATATTTGATAACTTTTCAGATCATTATTGAATATTTCATCTTATAGGCTGTCGGTCACGTCAATGAGAAGTATGATCCTTGCACTGAGAAGCACTCCGTTGTATACTTTAATCGACCTGAGGTTCGAAAGGCACTCCATGTTATACCAGCAGCTGCACCTGCAAAATGGGATACTTGCAGGTATACTGCTTTTAAGAATACTTTATTAATGGTTGGTCGGTTCCTTTGCTAGTAGTAAATGGGGACATTAGTAGCTCAGTGCTTAGTTTAGTTGGTTGCAAATCCTTTTACAAAAAGTGGATTAGATAAATAGTAGCTGCATGCCTCCATAAATTTTCTTTCTTTTTACTATTTTGCAGTGATTTGGTTAGTAGTAACTGGAAAGATTCTCCTCGGTCAGTGCTGGACATTTATCATGAGCTTATACATCATGGACTTCGTATATGGATGTTCAGGTGCACTCTGACCTCTGCTTTTGCATTTTCATATGTCTGCGTGGTGTAATTTTTGAATGTAGCTAGTAGCATTGTAATGACTCTAGTCCTGTTTGTTCTTCCATACAAAAGTGGTGATACAGATGCCATTATCCCTGTTACATCCACCCGGTACAGCATAGATGCTCTTAAGCTTCCAACAATAACACCCTGGCATGCCTGGTACGATGAAGGACAGGTAAATCACTCTCCAATGAGCAATACTTGGTTTTTTCTTACAGTGAAAATGTTTATCATTCTATGAGGGACATAGAGAATCTACTTTCGGTGGACAAATAGTATTTACTCGGAATTAACATAATCTGCTGAGCAGGTGGGGGGATGGACCCAAGATTACGCCGGACTAACCTTTGTTTCAGTGCGGGGAGCAGGCCATGAAGTTCCATTGCATAGACCCAAACTTGCTCTTATACTCATCCAATCCTTCTTATCTGGAAGCTCAATGCCAACCTTGAAAGAACAAGTTGGCATCAGTGATTCCTGAAGTTCTTTGCTTCTCTTCACCTTTGAAAAGAATGATCAAAGAAGCACTTCAAAGGGAACTCCCCATAGGGAAATCTGTAAAATCCAATTTACGTTATACTTCATTTGCAGTTGAATTATTAAATAAAGAAAACAGTTGGACTTCATCCACAATCCCTAATTTCTTGTTATTTCTGAACTGATGCTTGACAAAATTGGATATGTTTGGTCATACTGTAAAATCACTGACTAAAAACACATACAAGGTCATCACAGATTCAGAAATTCACACACAGATATGTGGTTACTAAACCATGGATTGATGAAAGAATTAATTGTACTTCATTCACATAAAAATCCGGTTGTCGGATGAATCTTTGATTCATCATACATTAAATATGGATAAAAGAATCAATTAACTAATAAACTAAACTCAAGCATCAACAGATAGAAAAGGATGTTGCAGCAACTATTCGGCGGTCAATCAAGCTCATATGGCATTAGGTTTGAGTGTGCTTAATTGGTGTAGGACTTCAACACTCTTTTCTCATGGTCAAACTCATATGTTGAGTCATGTTTGTTGATGTAGGTAGTTGCTAACTATAACTTCCCACTCGCTGGTTATGGAGCCTTACTTGCTGGTCAAACACTCAACATTTAGAATTTGAGATGAGTTTGATTCCTTACTCAATAAGGTCTTGTTGAATGGAAGAATTATCCCTTTATAAATCAAAAGTTTTGAGCGTGTCCAGTCAGTGTGAGACTCCAATATAAGTCCCTTTATGAGAAATCTCTTCCCTGTCCTCGTAGTTCAAGTTCTTCGACAGTCCGAAATCTGGTAGTTTCGCAATCAGCCCCAGTCCAAAATTAGCTTCGCAATCAACCTCACATCACTTACAGGGGCAAGCAAGATGTTATTATGAACAATCAAATTACAGTGAAGAAATCGTAACCTTCTGACAATATCTCTTGTGAAACGCTTTACTTCTTCCTCAAGTAACCCCTTGAAAGAACCCTTGTTTATGTAAATCATACACACTGCCGCCACCACAGAACTCCAACAACAAATTAAAAATCTTTTCACTTTCGCCCTCTTCAGTTTCCACGTCTCCATAACATTTGACCACGTATGGAGACTCTTTAAAGCACGTAAAAATCTGTTTCTCATACTTGAGAGTGGCTGCCTCAGCCATGCTTGCGCTTTTCACAGCCATTTCAGATGGCTAGTCAGTGAGCTCAGTGCCTCCACTAATGGGATCATTACAAGAAAAACTATATTCTGTAACCAATCTTTTAGCAACGGACCAGAATTAGTCGCAGAAAGGTTAAATTTACCAACTAAATTGCTATTGGTCGGGCAAAGAGGATTAAAATTTTAGGGTCCACATGTTCCAACTTTGGGCTTCTAAAGTTAATTTTCTACGACTATTTTGCTAGTCACAGAATAGATTACTTTATTGATTAATAAATTTAGTTGCCATTTTTAGCGGGTGATTTTTCCATCCATAATTTGACAATTTGCATGTAAAATATTATATTTTGCGTCTACATGACTAGTTACAGAAAACAATTTTTTGCAACTAGCCCTTAGTAGTTAAATTAGTTGCGAATAATTAGGAATTTATTAGTAACTATTATGATTAGTTACATAATAATAAAATTACCAAAATATCCCATATTTGGACAATAATTATAAGGGTCCAAGCTATTTTTAACAACAAATGTTTGTGTTCATATTAACAATAGTTGCAAAAAAAATTATATACAACAATTAAATCGGTTTAGTTGCCAATTTAAGTTGAAAAATTCATATTCCCTCCAAATTATTTGTTCCCGCTAGACCTAAAATATAGGCAAGTAAGACTAATTCTTTTGTGACTAAATGTTTAGTTCCAAATTTACTTGTTTGTCAAATATAATTATATTTAAAAATTAAACAACTAAATAAAAGCCTTATTTTTTTAAGTTATATAACAAAACCCTAACCTATATAAAGCAAGGCTTTTTTTTTTTTTTTTGTCCCAATCCCTATCTCTTCACTACGCATCTTCGTTGGAATCCCTAGCTATTTTTCAAATTTCCCAAATGCAGAAACTTACCTCATCTCTTCTCGACGCATCTTCATCTTAATCCCTATTTCCTGAATTTCCCAAATTCAGAACCTCACCTCATCTCTTCTCCACGCACCTTCATCTTTCAATTGTTCTTCTTGGCTTCCTTCATTCATCCAATATGAGGCAGTCCCTAACCTCCTGTAAGTACAGATTTTGGTTCTTTGGTTCTCTCACATGGTAACATTGAATCCAATATCAAATATTGAGGAGCTGAGGTATTTTCATGTATTGACATTGCATTTTGACATAATAATTAGTTCCCAATGATACTTTAATTTTGTTTGATAACTTGTGAATTGGTGCCATTATTATATGCATCCTTTCTTTGTTGACTTAGAGGTCTTATTGGCATCTTAGACTTTAATTTCCTTGTTATGGATTTGGGATTCTCTGCAACACTTTGACTAATTCTTTCCACCATGTCAGTAGAGAAACGTGATAAGTTTTCAAGTTGACTTATAGCCCCTTACCTGCATTGGATGACAGTGAGGGGCAGGTTGAGGAATATTAAATCTGTCATAGATTTTTGAAAGAGAATGTTCAAGGCATAATATCTTCGTGGGTCTATTCTTTATGCCAAAATGTGCTGTCAAAGTCTGTTGGACAACATGTGTTTCCACATTTGTTAGCTCACACCTCATATATGAAATAGGAACATCATATTTATGGACACAAACTTAATAGCTAGCAGCAGGATAATAAAATATATGAATTTGGGATATAGCATATGATTGTGAGTTTAATATGATCAGTTTTTACCTGTGATTATAGTTTTGTTATTTTTTGTGCTATTGGTTCTTTCAAATGGTTGATAATAGGCCAGTAGATTCTGTATTTGATGAAATGAGAGATTCTACTGTTAATGTCTGTGCACGCAATGTAGTTGTGTGCACGCAATGTCTTTCATGAATTCTGAAAAAAAAAAGTAATTTTTGTAGCAAGTGATACATTACTTCAAAGTTCAAAAGAACATTCAATGATATTCACATTTGATCATGAGATAAGAGCAATTTAGGATATGGTTCCCTTAAACATATAGTAAAAACGATCCTCAAAACCACAAATAAATGAAATGAAAATTTCCAATTTTTTACTTAAAATATACAATGCTATAAGCTCTGTTTTGAAGCCCAAGAAATCAAAGGAAAATGCAAAACACCATCTCTTTTTATACTTGCAATTCAAGCTCAACAAAAATTCTATGTTGATGATTACAAACTTGGGACTAATTGGAAAGTGGTTCGAAAAGCTCAACGTAGAAACCTATGGGATGTACAAGAGATGGATAACACAAATGAAGAAGAGGAGCACGTTGTTCTTGTACAAGAAGATGAGCTTGACAAGGGACATTTCATTAAAAATGATGTTGATCCAGACTTGATTGATGCAACAATTACACATGTTGGAGCTGAAGTAGTGAGGGATAATGTCAATGTTGATGTTGAAGAAGAAGATGCTACGTTGATTGATTATTGTACTAATAATGAAAATGAATTAATGAGTGATTCTGATAACAACTTTTGATGGTATGATTGTATGCTTATTATGTACTATTTACTGATTATATGTATGTTTAAATACAATTAATGATCTAATTTCGTGAGATTAATTGTATACAGTGACTTAAATCTTACTAGTTATTTTTTCTCATATGTTGATGTTTGCAGATTCCGAAGATGGCTCCTGGTACAAGAATGACCCTAGCTAGACGTGCAAATGTTGTTCGGATGAATCAGAGTGTTGAACCGACTCTTGAAACTGCTGCAAATGCTGGTAAAGTTATGATATTGGTTAACTTAAGCATACTGAAATATATACTTGGATTTTAGATATTGTCTCCAATGTTTGCTTAAAATTTAAGAATCCATTTTACTTTACCAACATGTAAACAGTCTTTGTGATAACATATTATTTACTAATGATTCATTATTTTAATTTTGTAGGCAATATTGTGGCAAAGAATGTGAGAGGGAAGACTAGAGGAGTCGGATGTGAAAGACTTTTACAAACAGCCAAGTCGAAGTTCCATGTAGATTTTGAAAAAGAAGATGGAGTACATACTAGAGTAAATGCATCAAAGTTGAGTACTGAGGTAGGAATAGTTGTGAGGAACTATGCCCCCGTTGGAGTGCTTACTTGGAAGAAAGTTCCCAACGATGTGGAAAAACAAATGACTGCTTGTATCATGGTAATGTCTTTCATATCGTTATCCATATTGTCGTACTTCTTTATGAAAATAATATATAATACCCATATAAGTTTAATGCATGTACATTAATGCTGAATTCAGACCAAGTTTAACATCAATGTCACGGAGCTTTATGTACTCAAATGGCTGAAGCACAAACTGTGTAAGAGATTCAACAGTTTTCGGAGTGCCCTACACAAGAAATTCAAAGCATATGCTACAAAGGAGGAAGCATTATAGAATAGACCTGAAGAAATTAAAGATCCCGATGATTGGATATATCTTTGTGACATTTTTTCTAGTGAAAAGTTTCAGATAAGGTCAACATCACTTTTTATGTTATTATATATGTATTGTGTTTTAATATTAAATTTTGTGGTGTTAGGCATGGTCAAAAACTTATTCTAAGAACCAGTCGAAGATGAGGTGTAACCACCGCGGTGGTTCCAAGAATTTTATTCAACACAAAAAGGAAAATGTATTTAATATTATTCATCTATACAAATATACAACTTTGTTTTACTGTTTACTAATTTTATTTCAATTTATGGTCAATGACTATATAAACTCTTAAGGCAAACCAACTTAGACAATCTGTTGGTCCTATACAATTATTTCATGACACTCGTTGGAGCGTCGGGAAAGGGTGGATTAATGAACAAGCAAGAGAGCTATATGTAAGTTCATCATCTTTGAATTATCAAAATAAGGTTGCTTCTGTTATATGTTATGTGTTGTGATCAGGAGTAGTGAAAATGAGTAATTTTTTCCTAAACATAAATATGCTTCTGTTTTGTGTTATATGTTCTGATGAGAGGAATGTATGTTAGTATGAAAAGAACCATGGAAATTGTAGTATATTGCATATTTGCCATTCATGTTTGAATTTTGAGTTATGTATAAATATAATCCATATTCTATGTCCTGAATACCCCATTTCCTTCATTTTGGATGTAACACTTTGAAATGAGTTAATAAGTTCTATTATCCTGCTTATTTACTTTTTAATCCTTTTTAGTTTATTTTCTTGAAATTACACCACTAAAATTATCACAACGTAAACAGTAGTTCGGACATATTGCACATCACTTTGGCACACCAAACACTGAAAAACTTGGAGAATCTTTTAAGAGGAGATTGGAAAAACTATCTCCACAAGAAAGGCATCCCACTATTGCCTAATCCCCATGCCATCTCCAAAAATTCAGTTTCATTAATAGCAACGGTGCCATTATATTTAGCACCTTTGTTGCAACTTTTGTTTTTCTTGCTTTATTCTATGGGATTCGTTTAATTCAAGTTCATTACCTATTTAATTTATGTTAGCTTGTTTTTAAATTTATGTAAAAATTTAACTTTAAAATTTTAAACTAAGGAATTGAAGTTTAGATTGATAATATGTGAGATACTTGCTTTTCTACTCCAATTTGATTTTAGTTTGGTGCCGCAGTACATTCTGTGAACTTTGAGGAGTAGTCTTTCTTTTCTTTTGCTATTTCATAAGTTTTTGTCACATATTTTATACCCCAGAATAATTATAATTTATTTGTAATTATTTAATTTCTTACTTGACTTATTGAATATACATTGAATTGATGGTAGGAAAAAATGATAGAGCTACAAGATGAAACACAAGCAGAGGAAAGTGAAAAAACAGAAGCAGAAATATGTGAGGAAGTTCTCAGTAAAGCTTCCGGATTTAACCAAAATTTTGCATCTTCACATACTCAACATCATGATACAGTAGCAGAAGCAGAGTTAAGGCGCATAGTGCAACAACAAGAAAATAAGATTAAACAGTTAGAGGAACAACTCATCTTATTTGATCAACAAAAACGGAAAATGAAAATGCTTGAAGAACAACATTTTCAAATGTTGGAGATGCTGAAGCAGATCACTATAGCAACTGCACACGCCCAACGAGCTAGAGCTTCGACTCGACTGCCATCGCCATCTCCAACTAATGAAGAGTGTTTCTCATCTACTACAGCTATTTCATGAACCTCAACTAGTGACACTTGAGATGCTAACAGTATTGATGGTTAGTGTTTTTTTTTTATTTTTGTTTATTTTTTTATTTTTTTTATTTTTATATATATGGGTAGTAGATATTTTGACAGGGGGGTAGGATCATCTTTTTGGACTTTTTAGAATTGCTTGCATATATCCTTAGAAAGTATACATGGGGTGGGTGTTTTGTTTGTTAGTTATGCATGAATAGATAACTACTGATGAAAACGTGGGGTGCATGCTCTATTTTTTGGTTATGCACACATGATAGTGCATTTTAGATTTTTATTGCTCATCATGCATAAAAATCCATGTATGGACTATATATATATGTATGAAAATATGATTTTTGATTTAGTTATCAGATTTTTATATTGTGCTAATTATTTTGTTGATGTTGAATGTATAAACTAAGTCATTTACGAAGAGAAAAAATAATGCTCGTAAATGTTAACCAATTAGCTATTAAATTATTAGATGTAGAAATAATATAGCGGCAAAGACTAATAGATAATATTTGACTAAAATGATTAGTTTCCAAAACTCATATACAATCTATTATTATATTATTTAAAAGCAAAAAATTAATTTTAATGACTAAACATTAGTTACAAAATGTAAGAAACCAAACTGGGTATATACAAAATGCATACAATCATACCATCAGAAGTTGTTATCAGAATAATATATATAAAAATTAATTTGGTTTCTTACATTTTGTAATTAATGTTTAGTCATTAAAATTAATTTTTTGCATCTAAATAATATAGTAACCGATTGTATATGAGTTTTAGAAACTAATTATTTTAGTAAGATATTATTTATTAGTCTTTGCTGTTATATTATTTCTACATCTAATAATTTAATAGCTAATTGATTAACATTTAAGAGCATTATTTTTGCTCTTTGTAAATGACCCAGTTTATACATTCAACATCAATAAAATAATTGATATAATATAAAAATCTGATCACTATCAAATATCATATTTTCATATATATATATATATATAGTCCATACATGGATTTTTATGCATGATGAGCAATAAAAATCCAAAATGCACTATCATGTGTGCATAACAAAAAAATAAAGTATGCACCCCACATTTTCATAAGTAACAATCTATCTGTGCATAATTAACAAACAAAATGCCCACCCCATGTACACAATCTAAGGATATATGCAAGCAATTTTAAAAAGTCCAAAAAGATGGTCCTACCCTCATGTCAAAATATCTACTACCCATATAAAAAAAAAACTAACCATCAATATTGTTAGCATCTCAAGTGTCACTAGTTGAGGTTCATAAAATAGTTATAGCAGATGAGGAACACTCTTCATTAGTTGGAGATGATGATGACAGTCAAGTTAGAGCTCTAGCTCGTTGGGCGCGTGCAGTTGCTATAGTGATATGTTTCAGCATCTCTAACATTTGAAAATGTTGTTCTTCAAGCATTTTTATTTTCTGTTTTTGTTGATCAAATAAGATGAGTTGTTCCTTCAATTGTTTAATCTTATTTTCTTGTTGTTGCACTATGCGCCTTAACTCTGCTTTTGCTACCGTATCATGATGTTGAGTATGTGAAGATGCAAAATTTTGGTTAAATTCGGAAGCTTTACCAAGAACTTCCTCACATATTTCTGTTTCTGTTTTTTCACTTTCCCCTGCTTGTGTTTCATCTTACAGCTCTATCACTTTTTCCTACCATTAATTCAATGTATAATCAATAAGTCAAGCAAGAAACTAAATAATTACAAATAAATTATAATTATTCTGGGGTATACAATATGTGACAAAAACTTATGAAATTGCAATAGAAAAGAAAGACTACTCCTCCAAGTTCATAGAATGTACTGCAGCACCAAACAAAAATCAAATTGATGGAGTAGAAAAGCAAGTATCTCACATATTATCAATCTAAACTTCAATTCCCTAGTGTTTAAAATTTTAAAGTTAAATTTTTACATAAGTTTAAAAACAAACTAACAGAAATTAAACAGTTAATGAACTTGAATTAAACGAATCCCAGAGAATATAGCAAGAAAAACAAAAGTCGCAACAAAGGTGCCAAGATTGTTTAAAATAAATGTAGAGAGGTAATAAACTACTTCTAAAGTTTAAGAAGTTCAGGAGTATTGGTACATATAAACCCAAGAAGTTTAATTTATTACCTATTTGTACTCAAATTCTTAAACTTCAAGCTAATGCGCTAAGTAGTTACCTAATTCTGTTTGTTCTCTCGTCAAAAACTCTCATTTCTTCAATTTATTCTGCCTCAGGATCCCACTCAGTTATGGCGGTTTTAGTGTCAAAACCACATCTGGGACGTGGGACCAAGAGGCTGGAGTTACAAAATAAGAAGAATCTTTTCAAGAGACACCAGATATGGAGGGTGAAGAAGAACAAAAGACTGGAAATTAACGTTGAGTACTGGAATGGCTTTTTGTGGGTGAGGCCGTGAGGGAGCGGTTTCTTGGAGAAGGAGGGTTTGGTTCGGTTTTCTTGGTTAAAAGAAACCAACCCTTGAACGAATACGACAAGCTCACTGATTTACCTTCTGAAATGGCGGTGAAAACAGAGTCCATGGCTCAAGCTTCATCACTCAGGTACGACAAACAGGTGTTCTCGAGATTTGATCCAAAGATTCCGAACGTGATTAAATGCTATGGAGACAAGGAGACGATCGGGTGTGAAGGTGAAAAGATTTATAACCTGTTTCTGGAGTTCTGCAGTGGAGGTAGTCATTACGATTATATCAATAAGTCTTACTCTTCTTCTAACGGATTGCTTGAGCAAGAAGCAATGAAATACACAAGAGACATCGTCAAGGGGTTGTTTTACATTCACGGGAATGGGATAGTTCACTGTGATATAAAACCTGGAAATTACATGCTGCTTGTTCCCGGAAGTGGTGGAGGATTCACTGCAAAACTGGTGGACTTCGGGTTGGCGAAGAACATGGACGACGAGGACATGGAGGAAGATTCTTACCGAGGAACGTGTAGCTATATGGCACCGGAGTTGGTGGAAGACAAAATCCTGGCCTAGCCTGCAGATATTTGGGCTCTTGGGTGTGTTGTGGAGGAAATGTTATGTGGAAAACCAGCCTGGGAATATGAGACGAACGAGGAGATTCTCCTGCATATTGGGTACACTAAAGAAGTTCTGATTCTTCCGAGAAATATATCGGAGAATGCAAGGGATTTCCTGTACAAGTGCTTCTTCAGAGATTTTATGCGGAGATGGACGGCTGAAGAGTTGCTGGAGCATCCTTTTCTTGCTTCTGTTGATTCATGATAATCAGTTAAAACAAGAGCAGTTGATGTACAAATCAGTTTAGTCTTATAAACTTAATCAGTTCATTAATTTCTTGGATTTTTATCTGTATTTAATGTATAATGAATCTATGATTCTTCTGATGGCAATTTTATAAAAAAATTTATTCATTACAAAGATACATGGTTCCGGTAACAATCAATACCGCTTCAGTAATATTGCTGGAAAAAATTGCATGTGTCCTGGATTATAGAAAACTACATCATTACTGTAACATTTCTGGGGTACAAAATTGCATTATTTCAATAATGTTACTGGGCTTCTATGAAACTGCAAAGGTCCAGTAGTGAGACTTTAGAAAATTACGTCATTCCGGTAACATTACTGCAGTTTACGAAACTGCCTATTCCTATAATGTCACTGGGATTTTATGAAACTGGGTTGTAGCAGTAATGGTACTAGGAGATTCCCGGTAACATTATGAAACTTCTGTTCACTGAGATGGACCTTTGAAGAGCTGCTAGAGCATCCATTTCTTTCTTAGTTCTGTTGATTCATGATGAGTTAAAGAACAAGAAGTTTTAGTTAATGGTTGAATGCACAAATTAATTAAGTCTTATACACTCAATCAAATCATTACTTGGATTTTGATTTATATTTAATGTATAACGTATCTTTTATGCCTAAAAAGTTAGATTGACGTAAACTTATATAAGTAAGCCCCAATAAGAGATTAGGAAGATTTTACGCCGTTCAAGAGCTACCACATCGCTCTATGACAGAAAGAGTATGGCTATCACCAGCTTGACATATTCAGGTTTTGTTTATAGTGAATGTGGGCTACACACCTATCCAAACCCCAATTAATTTGAGAATATTTCCTAAGTTATCAGTCAATGGGACGCAAGGAAAGACTTGCACGGCACCTACCCACTTGCAGATTTGTAAGCATTACCTTAAATTCCTTTACTATAAATAGAGGACTCCCCTTTTCATTTTCGGGATTTTGATACTGAACCCTTATCCTGATTGTAATCTTTATTTTTAGAGCAAAGATAACCCAAGAGAAAGAGGCTGACTTGATATTTTATCTGAATATTCAGTTATTGTATCTCTATTCGCTGTTTGCTATATGCGACCTCCTGTAATCTCTCATATATAAAAAAACAGTAGATGTAAGATTCGCTTTAAGTATCCAAACCATTTTAAAAATCATCTCTAAATTATTATTCAGCTTTTGCATTAGATTATCATTATTATTCACGTGTAATTTCTAAAAGTTATTTAGCACTTTACATGTGCGAGTCATTAGTGTCAAAATCAAGTATCAACAGTATCTAAGATTTATCTGAATAATTGAATTTTTCATGTGAATGGAACACAATTTTTAACTCTTTTTGATCATGTAATGAGCTGATGATCTTTTTTACTGCTTCCCTTTGGTGATTTCTTAAACTATAGTGTTGTTTGAAAACAATGTTTATTTGTTCTGTAATGTTCCATTATAAATTAGATTTGAGAATAAAGTCTATCATTAGTAATGACATGGAATTTTACAAGAATTTTATACATTACAAAAAGACGTCGTTCCAGTAAAGTTACTTGGATACTCCAAATTAAGAAGTATAGGTACTGCCATTTTACAAAACTTCACTATTTTTCAGTAACTTTTAAGGAATTTTCATAAACTGCGTGTATTTGGTAACGTTAACGGAATTTTATAAAACTTTATCGTTTAGATAACATTACTGGGGTTAAAATTGCATCATCTTATTGGGATTTTATGAAACTCCTTTGTAGTTGTACTGTTACCGGGATTTTATGAAACAACATCTATTTGGCAGCTTCACTGAAATTTTAATATGCATCGTTTTGGTAATGTTACTGGGGTTTACGAAACTGCATTACCATTCCGGTAGTGGTACTGGGGTTTTACGAAACTCCAACATTACAGTAATGCTGTGAGAATGTTGACAGGATATTACTGCACTAACATTTTGGTACTTTTACTGGGATTTTAAGAAACTCAAACATAACAGTAATGGTCTGGGTCCTCTGGGATTACGAAACTAGCTTGTCCCTGTAATGTTGCTGGGATTTCACATATTTAAATATGAAAGGTCCCCACTTTTCTGTCTATTTCTAGTAGGGCCAAGACCAAGCAGAAAACTTCATTGTTCCCCCCATATTTTGTCTATAATACAGAGAAAAACAAAACAGGAAATTTTAAAGGCCGTTTATTTTGCTCCTATACTTCACCATCCATTTTATCCGAACAAATATCCCAAGGTACACTCATAACTCACGCAAGAGCACTTTTTTTATCGGTCTAAATATAGAGTTAAGTTTAAGTTTGATCATTTAATTGTTGAGTTTTCATGGCTTCTTTGAAGTTGTTGCCAATCTCTTTGGACTCAACTGAGTCAAGGAAGTTCAGTTTCAGTTCAAACCCAGTTCAGTTGTCTGATAACTGTCCCATATTTTCAGTTTCTAGATACATTCATTTCACTAGGTGTTGTATCATCTCTACTTTGAATAGGGTCAAGCATGTCAATGTTTGTGCTTCAGAAACTGGGTTGTCTAACAGTAATGAAGTGAATGAAACTGATAATGAGAGTGTTTTGAGAAAAAGTGATCTGGGAAATGGGGATGTAGATGTAGAAAAGTCGAATTTTTCTCGTAAAGTTAGGAGGAGAGGTTATGGGATGAAGAAAGGGGTTAAAAGAGATTTGGGTTTGAGTTTTAGTTTTAAAAGGAGTGATAGGGAGCAAGAAAAGGAGGAATTTTTTGTTAATAATGGTGAATTGGATGTTGATTATTCTGTTGTTAGGGCTAATTTGAGTGTGGAGCGATGTAATGCAATCTTGAAACGGCTTGAGAGGTGTAGTGATAGCAATACTTTGAAGTTTTTTGAGTGGATGAGGACTAATGGGAAATTGGATAAGAATTTGACTGCTTATAATTTGCTTCTGCGAGTGTTTGGTAGGAGAGAAGATTGGGATGCAGCAGAGAGAATTGTTAGGGAAGTGAGTAACGAGTTGGGTAGTGAGATGAATTTTCAGGTTTTTAATACGCTTATTTATGCGTGTAGTAAACGAGGACTTGTGGAGTTGGGTGCAAAGTGGTTCCATATGATGTTGGAATGTGATGTTCGACCTAATGTTGCCACCTTTGGTATGCTTATGGGCCTTTACCAGAAGGGTTGGAATGTTGAGGAGGCAGAATTTACGTTTTCCCAGATGAGGAAATTTGGAATCATGTGTGAATCTGCTTACTCAGCAATGATCACAATTTATACCCGTTTAAGTTTGTACGATAAAGCAGAAGAGGTTATTGGCTTAATGAAAGAAGATCATGTAGTTCTTAGGTTGGAGAATTGGTTGGTCATGCTTAACACTTATTGTCAGCGAGGCAAGTTAGAGGAGGCTGAACTAGTATTAGTCTCAATGCATGAAGCAGGTTTTTCACCAAATATCATTGCTTACAATACATTAATTACTGGGTATGGGAAAGTATCCAATATGGATGCTGCTCAACGCCTATTCCTAAGCATCCAGGATGTCGGTTTAGTACCGGATGAGACAACTTACCGCTCCATGATTGAAGGTTGGGGTCGAGCTGGAAACTATAGGGAGGCAGCATGGTACTATAAGGAACTTAAGCGGCAGGGTTACAAGCCAAACTCATCTAACTTGTACACTCTAATAAACTTGCAAGCTAAACATGAGGATGGGGAGGGTGCTGTAAAAATTCTTGATGATATGCTGAAGATGGGTTGCCAACACTCCTCCATCCTTGGTACTCTTTTGCAAGCACATGAGAGGGCCGGAAGGATCGATAAAGTACCTCTTATTTTGAAAGGGTCCTTCTATCAACATGTTTTAGTCAACCCAACTTCTTGCTCCATTCTGGTCATGGCTTATGTGAAACATGGACTGGTTGATGATGCTATGATTGTCTTGGGGGACAAGAAGTGGAAAGATCCACTTTTTGAGGATAATTTGTATCATTTGTTAATTTGCTCTTGCAAGGAGTCGGGTCATCCCGAGAATGCTGTTAAGATATACTCTCACATGCCCAGTTCTGATGGCAAGCCAAACTTGCACATCACTTGCACAATGATTGACACCTACAGCGTTATGGGTCTGTTCACTGAAGCAGAAAAACTTTATCTGAAGTTGAAATCTTCAGGAATTGTCTTGGACATGATTGCCTTTAGCATTATTGTAAGAATGTATGTCAAAGCTGGATCTTTGAAAGATGCTTGCTCTGTTCTAGAAACAATGGAGAAACAGCAAGACATTGTTCCAGACATTTATCTGTACCGGGATATGCTCCGTGTTTATCAACAATGTGGCATGCAGGATAAGTTAGCATCTCTGTACTATAACATCTTGAAGAGTGGAATCACTTGGGATCAGGACTTGTATAATTGTGTCATAAATTGTTGTGCTCGTGCTCTACCAATTGATGAGCTTTCAAGGATTTTGAATGAGATGCTTCAGCATGGGTTTACTCCCAATACGATCACCGTCAATACCATGCTTGACGTTTATGGAAAAGCTAAGCTTTTCAAGAAAGTTAGGAGGTTGTTCTTAATGGCTAAAAGTCTAGGTTTAGCAGATGTTATTTCTTACAATACTATCATTGCTGCCTATGGTCAACATAAGGACTTAACAAAAATGTCATCAACTGTTCAGAAAATGCAATTTGATGGCTTTTCGGTTTCCCTTGAAGCCTATAATTGTATGTTGGATGCATATGGGAAAGAAGGTCAAATGCAGAATTTTAGAAATGTTTTGCAGAGAATGAAGGAAGCAAGTTGTGCTTCTGATCACTATACTTACAACATCATGATCAATATCTATGGAGAGAAAGGATGGATCCATGAAGTTGCTAGTGTGCTCGCAGAACTGAAAGAATGTGGGCTCGGTCCTGATTTGTGCAGCTATAACACTTTAATTAAGGCATATGGCGTTGCTGGAATGGTTGAAGATGCAGTAGGTTTGGTAAAAGAAATGAGAAAGACTGGTATAGAACCTGACAAGATAACATACAAGAATCTGATCGCTGCACTGCGGAAGAATGATAAGTTTTTAGAGGCTATCAAGTGGTCCTTGTGGATGAAGCAGATGGGTATATAAGTACACAGCTGATCTATGTGATCTTTTTTATGCTTTGCCTTCACTCTTCACACCTGAAAGAACGTTGACTTCAGATCCTTGTCATCCACATGAAATTTCACTGGATGGTAAGATAATAGATACTAGTGAAACTAATACTGCTAATTTAATTTACTAGCCATTATTATTGTCCCACGTCAGCATACCTTACAAGTGAGGTACTGTCATTTATGATAAATGATCATGTTCCAATAATAGCTTCTTTTCGCTTATACTGATTCATCTTGACGTGGGCAAGTAAAAAATATGGTGGCCTGATTAGTTTATGGATATCCTTGTGCTTTCTTTTTAGCAGTGTCTTATAGGTGTATCTGAGGCTGGTCTTCCTATTTTTATCGAAAAAGGATTACAAAGCTCCTTTTGACTGAATTTAATGCTGCTTTTGCTTGCTGATTGCTGTTAGACATTGTTTAATGATGAAATATCTTACATATATGATCTGAACCATAAATTCCTTGACAGAAATCTAGTTAATGTTGCTTGTCAGTTGTAACGTTTTGCCAACTGACTTCGAGGAATTCTATCAATTCCAAACTGATTTCCTGGACCCTTTGAGTTTGTTGGATTTATGACTCTGCGGTTGCTAATTCAAAGTATGTCCATCTTTCTTTTGACTGACTATGTTAAGCAGCTTTTGTGAATACTAGTTAATACGTTTGATGTGCTGTTTTCTTTGTCTGTTTTAAAACCTGAAACTGATATGCACTTGATTTGCTTTGAACTTTCTATGCATGATTTAAAGAGAATTACACACGTAATTTTCTTGAATGTTCTAATTGGTTGCAAATAATGTGTTGGCATCAAATTTCCTCTTCAATCTTCTTATGGATGTCCCCCTTCTGTAAATCATATTTATACATATTTTGCCTCTACCAACTAAATGATATTGAGAATTCTCTAAATTCAGGTATGAACCCAAAGATTCTACTCATTCCACAATTTTAATCAGCTGCAAGGAAAAAAAAATGGCTAGCGTGTGGTGCTAAATGCATAGAGGAATCTTAGCAAAGGTTTCACACACGGCAAAGGTGTCAACAAGCGAGAACTTGCGTCTTTGCAGCTAGTTAGTAGAAGTAAAACTCTTCCTGGGAACTCAACCAAGCAGGCAGATTGCAGATAATATGCCTTTGAAGGAGTGATGCTCCTCACCGTTTCCTCCCAAGGTTCAACTAAAAAATTTTCTTTTGTGAAGTAAACACATTTTATTTCCTGCTAAATTGAATTGATTGGCACTGTTATTGAAGGAGTCCCATTTGAATCTTCAGTATATTGTCCTTGTAATGTCTAGTGCACAGATGATTTGAATGTAGTAAAGATGAAAATAATATGCAAAATTCATTCATATCAGCTAGTAAAATTAAAATACCGGTGGATTCGAGATTCAGAAAATTTTTATTAGTCCTTATTTTAGGTCAAAATGTTCCTTCGCATTCACTATTCTTTCCATTGATTGCATTTTCGCTGCACCTGAAACTACATTATCCAAAGCTAAATACCCTTTTCAATGAAGGATGTCAGTTTTCTTTGGTGTTTTGCCTAAATCTTACCTAGTTGTTGATCATGCCGTAACTCATCATTTTCTGATCAGAGTTTTCTTTAACTTTTATAAATCTTATAACACATATGCGATACTAAACATGTGTACTTGATATTGGTTTGCATTTTAATCATTTTTCGTGAATTCACAACTGTGACCTGTGTTGCAATAAGTTTTCCGGCTGAAAACAAAAGAAACGTGAGATTGAATTCCAGAAGTCTTCTTTCCATTTTCTTTTTCTTGGCCAAAGAAGTACATTATTTGCCATTAGTTCACTGAGGCACAGTTTCCCTGGACAACAGATACACTAATATGTTACAATATTAAAAAAGAATAGAATTGATCATGATCTCCGATGATCAGCTCCTACAGCAAAATAAAAAAAACTTGCTGCAAGATTTAGCAGAGCTTTGTCATCGCAACCTCCAGACAAGCCACCCGGGTGATGAAATTTCAAATTGAATCCCATCAATGCATGAGTTTTCTGCGTATATGTGTCACCAAGCTGGGAAGTCAGTGAGTCATCCTCTATGTGATAAACAACTGTTTCGGCGTTTATCTTAACCACCATACGATGATTTTCTGCTAGCCATTGGAATTGAACATTTATGTAGTCCTTCCTGGCTGTCACCAAAAGTGATCTTGTGCTCTTATTTCTGAAACTTTTGGTGTATAGTGCTGCATACTTAGCCTTTGTGATCCTTTTGGGGCCTACACGATAGTCGTGCTTCTGTACCTTTAACATATACGAGTCCAGCTTGTTCATGGATCAGTTGAAAAAGTATGGAGATTTAAGAACCTCACGTAAGTCAAAGTCGCCCCTTTCAGGGAGAGGAGGAAACTTCAATGTCGGATATGATGTCTGGAAGCTCTCAAGCAACTGGGAAAATCAGAATGAGTTATAACAAGGTCAACGGAAACTCGGAGATATCATAGAGCAGTCTTAAATAGTCCAAGATCCATAAGACGATGCTTTGAATCATAGATGGAAGTCATAAGCAAAATCAAAACAACCGCTATTTATAATAGCATTCTGTATAGTTCATGAAACTACTTCAAAATGTTGTTACTATGGTAAAGTAATCCTTGCAATTCATTACAGAAAAGCTATGTGTGCATCTACTTTTGAAGCCATTTTCCAAATGGAAACATTCTAATGAAGTAGCATAGGTTCGTGCTATTCTTTGTTAAGTTCATTTAACTTTCTCCTGGCAGAAAATATGTCTACAGAATGTGAAAAAGGCATTCTTCTCTCAGTTGCTTTCAGGCATGCCTAAAACGTTCGCTACGTGGGCTCTCTTTTTAATGAAGTGAAAATAGGTCATTATAAACTTACATTTTCAAGGATTGGCATGCTGTAGAGCTCCACAAACTTTTTCCGAAGTATCTCGTTCATCTGGTCGACATCACATGCATGTGTCCAAAACGAGTCATGAACTCCTGCAAACATATTTATTGGACCAAAAAAATATATTATTTTCATACTGATTTTCGTCTCAAAATTATCAACCAAAAAAAAACATAAAGATGTAAGCATCACCATTATGACCAACATTGGATACTCTCTAAAAGTATTATACAACTCAAATCAAAGATCTTTTAATGCTGCTTCTATAATAAATAGTACACGACACATGACGACACATGACTTAACATTAAAATATCATATCCTTTAAGCATGTTCATGTGCAAGCGAAAAGCTCGGTGATTTAGATAGGTTGTCCAGCTATATAATTGGAGCATCAAGAAAAAACAATTTCCATGAGCAGTATGAAACGGAAGAGAAGAACAATGTTCGAGGGAAAACCGACTACAGAATGTAAATGATTACAAAAACAAATGAACAAGACTGAGCACACTTCAGACCCATGAGGGTTTAGCTGGATAGTCAGGCTTGTGGTTTGCTCCCACAAGGTCTGAGGTTCGAGTCCCCTCATGGGCACTTGCATGGCCAAAAGTCATATTTAACCACACCCCAATGATAGCAGGGTTAGGCGGGGGCTTCAGTTTCGAACTCGGGCTTGCAAAGTAAGTGTGAGGGATTTCTGGATTATCCAAAAAAAAAAGATTGAGCACACTTCAGCAGACTGGGAAAACAAACCTGCAAAATGTAAGCCAGCATCCCTGCAGGCAACAGCAGTCATCATCATGTGAGAACCGTCCAGTGAGTGAACAAAATTTGGAGGAAATGCAGTTCTCTGCTTCCTAATCTGTACCTGGAGAATTGAAATGATAATGAATTTTTAAGTCACAGGAACAAAAGATATGAAAGAAAGAGCAGACAGAAGACATTAAAATAGACTTACTGAGCTACCCTCACGCTGCAAGGCCAAAACCTGGAGAGATGTTCTTATCTGCATCCACAAACTGAGTTCAGTTACCATATTATCACAAAATTATTTGAGTAGATTGGTGCTGAGCGAGTATATCTTTGGACCAGGTTATAATTTCAGCACCATGCAAAGGTTTTTATCATTCACAAATAGAATAATGAATTGTGCACAACCACAAGAGGCATTCAACTTTTTAACATTCTCCATCTATGAAAGCTTTGCATCAGAGAGTAAACTACCAACTTTGATCAGAAAACTTCAATTCGAAAGGCACATATATATAGGGAAATTTGGACTCAGAGATAGCATGCTGAGGAAGTAGCTTAGATAACTTTCTTGCCAGGCATTTCTTTTGCAATTGAACAGAAGCTAACATGCCAGCCAACTTTTAAGATTTTAGAGGCCGGATCACCGATCTACTATTTAATTTATTTTTCTTTCTCCAGTGACATGTCAAAAAAACACAACACAGTAACCCCTATCTAACAGAAGGAGAGTAATCACAACGATGGTAAGAACACAAGTCCAGGTAAGCCATTGGAAAATAATAAATCTGAACTTGCTGGTTATCAGGTTAATCATAGACTAGTAACAAAGCTAGCACTCACTAGATGTCGTTCACTTTTGCAGTAGGGTTGCACAACTGGAAGACCTAGGGGAGTGGTCCACTGCACAGCCTGATTCTCTGCAGCAATAACCTGCAAAATTTTTAAGATAAAAAAGAAAATTTACTATATCACAATTCAATCTGGTGAACAACAAGAAAAAGATGATGAAACAGAAAGTAATACCTTTGCACAATCACCAAGCCAACCCATTATGCTGCGTGCAGCTTGAAATATCTCTCCAAGCGCAGTCAATGTCACCTAAAAATAAAGATAGTTTAAACTTGAAATGGGACTCACATTTAGAAACGCAAGACCCTTTAAGCTATAATTCTAGCCTCCAACAATACAAAATAATGAACTAGAATCCAATAAAATACTGTCATGAAAGTCAAGAACCAAGGCTCACAACCAATTATACTGAAATTTTCAGATCAGTAAGCCAACAGAGTGTTTTATTTATTTCCTGAATAAAAATTGGAATCTAAGGCGGTTATTAAGCCCTCACGCAAACCTAATGATCACAATCAAAATTCTAATTGCTTACTTTAGCAGCATAGCAAGCTGCAGCAAAGAGCTGTCTATCATCTGTAATAAGACCCTTCTCCTCTAATCTTCGTTTTATTTGCTCTCTTGCTCCAACATAAGTGACACCATACACAGAGGTCATCACAGTCTGTTTCACCAATTTCCGATCAACCTGAAGCTTACAAACATTTAAACAATCAGTTCAAGAAAACATAACAAAATCACAGTTAAGAACTTTGAAAGGCCAACCTGATCAATTAAAATATTGGCCAATAAAGCATGTGGATATTTAGCAAAATCCTTGTTGCTGTCCCTCTTCATTATATTGTGAACCCTACCCATGCAAAAGTCAGTTCAGGTCTCATAGCACATTAACAAATAGTAACTAAATAGAGAAAAAAAATGCCCAAATAAGGAGTTGAAATATAAACGGCAAGAGATTGAATCAATAATAGAAAAATTAAAATAAGTAGCTTTAACAAAGAGCAAAATAGTGTCTACACAGGACTAACATAAAGTCTTCATGCTTTTGAAAATAAGGTGATCTTGATAGGCACATGCCTCATGAATCTAGTTTCTCTTTGCACTGCTTTTACTTCTTGAGCAGCACGAACACTCTCTTATTATCTTAATTGGCAAAAAATATTTAATTGTTCGACCAAATAAATTTTCAAGCAATTTTCTCAATTACCATATAGTACCAAACATTTGTTTGCTGGATACCAATGAACTATCTTCTTCACACTAAGTGAAATAAAGCCGTCATATCTTTCTGATTAATGGTTTTACTGTGCTCTTAAACCATCTTAATTATATGTTATCACATTTTTTAGCTTATTGATTTTCTTTCTCTCTCTTGTCCTATAGAAGATGTCCTAGAAGAAAGAAAGATGGTTCAACATCAAGTCCAAATCATGAACCTATGAGATACTAATGATCAGGTTACAAGCTCA